AAGAACTTTTTTATTTTTAGCTTAGCTGCTACAACCACTGTCAGAGTTGAAAACAAAAATTTAAACTGGAAAAAGAAATTATACCTCTGCCATACTTTCTCCATGCCTTTTATACTTTAACCTTACAGGGCAGGAATAAATAACAAATCTTAAGATTACTAGCCCTCTCAAAACCGGGCAACTTTCACAAAAAATAGGAACAAGTTACCTCCCTGTTTCACCAACATAGAACCTACAAAGGTTTATTTCACATGTCATCTAAATATCTTTAAAAGCCCACCAATTCCCAGTCATATTTTCCCAAAGCAGCACCATACTATTCATGCTGTTATACAGCTGTCGAAGAGGCACTATTCAAGATTTTAACTACTGATTAACTACACAGTTTGATAAGCAACATTTTTAAGCAGGCTCTCCTTTACAATTTACAGTCACTGGGTCAGACATCTCAAAAAGACTGGCAAGAGTTTCTAGTTACAGGTCTGAAACAAAAAAAAAAAAAAGGCCCAAACAATAGGCCTCAAACCAAGGTTGACTTCTGAGTGAATTCCCCGACCAGCAATCAGCATCTTATCATCAGAATGAAGCAACCAGCATCTTACCAGCATGAAAATGCTGCACCCCTGGGAACAATCCCTGGGAACTATAAGTAAACAATAGGAAGTAACTATAAATCCCAAATGTAAAGAAAAACAGAAACTCCTCAGACGTGCCCAGATCCTGGCCAGATCCAGACATGCCTGACTGAGGCATATCAATCTACCAGCTATCTCCCGTGCGTTTTGTTTAGACTTGTTTGTTAAACTGTATAAAAGCTGGACCCTCTCACAGCACAGACGCAGACCTCCCCTACGAGCGGACGCCCTGCGTGGGACTTCCCAGCTGCCGGGACAGGCTCTGCGACCCTTCGCTGGGACGGGGCTCCCCAGCTGGTGCACGGGGCGGGGGGACGGTGAAGTAGGAGGGCAACTGGTGATGGATCTTTCTTAATCACTATAGCCAGCTTTATGTAGTAATGACTAGGTGCGTTACCTTGCTTATTCTTTCTGCTGCTTTAAACTAAAGTAAAATAAGCCCATTTCTTTAGCTTGGTGTCTGTGTCCTTTGTGTTAACCCCGCCAATTGGCAAAACAAGGTCACCTAAAGCAACTCCAGCAGGTGGAGTTATAAAAGTCAAACTAATAATTGGGGCAGCCCACGAATGGTCTTGCTGGCACCCTTCAGTGAGGCACAGAGCACCTTGCTTTAACAAGTTTATCACCTTTCCATATTTTTTTAATGACTTAAAACTGAGATTTAGGAGAGCAGAGCAGGCCACCTTCTCTCCTGTGATCCCAGTCTGAACCCTGGCTGGGATTAGGAACGCTGATGTTCCTCTTGGCATAGAAATAGGTACACACTGCTTTGAAGGGAAAGGAGAGTCCAACAGGGAATATTAATGCTTTATTTGCCTTCTAAATTTAGTTGTACTTACCTCACTTGAGAATTATCAGTAAACCTGATTTCCCCAAGATTCATACAAAGGGTTGCAGTGTCAACCAGCAAGACCATCTCCTTACTGAGCCTCACAGATGTGGTATGAATTGAAATGGAAGTACAACAGGCTGCAGTAATGGTAGAAAATAGTTTGGGTCAAATCATCTTTGAGATGAATAACAAAATCAGATTTTGCTGAGCAGCTTTTTATTAAAAATAGCGTCAGATTTCAAAAAGAATTATGTAATGTTTCTATAAAGGCAAATACCTCTGGGAATGGTGTCATCATGGGTAACAGACTCATGAAATCTAGCAGTAACGATACAGCCTAGACAGTTCTCACTACAAGACCATTTTTCCTCCCCCTTCTTATCAACCACCCACCAAATCAACAGTAGCTGATTCTATTTTAGACTTGGTATATACTGAAGACTAGGTACTTCAGAAAAGTTTTGCATATGAAATAGCCTTGAACAAAGCAATCATAACATGATTTGGCTAAAAATTAAATGGCACAAAATAGCATCTGGATTTTAAAAGGACAAACACTTAGGGAATTGGCTGCTAGAGTTAGATGGAATAAGAGCATCAGAAACTTTAATGTGGAAGAAGCTTGCGATTTCTTTCAGACAGCAATATCAAAATTCCAAATAAGCATTCTGAAAAGGAAAAAAAAATAAAATATGTCCTCCAGACTCATTAGGAGACATGTTAGAAGTATGCAGGGGAAGAATGGAAAGAAAAGAAAAGACTAGAGTAAAATTATAATTCAAAATTGATTCAAAATACTGTGTCAGTCACATTAAAATCAAACACAAACATTAGAAAAATATTTTCCTACCATATGAAGAAAATACCTCACCTCATAGAGAGTCCGGGTTACAAACCAAGGCTAATCTAAACTTATACTTCTCAAATTAAGCAACAGAATTGTGTGTAAAGTCAACAGTAAAGACTACATGATCATACAGGTGAATATTAAAGATTTTCACTGTCAGACCCAACTTCATCAGCTGGAAAAAATATAAAGGAGAGCCATGAATTAGAGATAATGTACAAATAAATCACAGGAAGCTTCAGAAGAGATTTTTCTAGTAGAAATGAAAGCAGTGCCAATGTACAAGGTAGTCAAGTAAAATTATCTAGGAATATTATACAATACTCTCTGGGAACTTAAGAACTGTCCTTCTGTCTGTCACAGCAGAAGCCTGTTGCCCTGGTCTTCCCTTCAGCCTCACACTCTCTCCTTGCACTACACTCAGTACTGGCTGCATCTTAGACTCTTCTATTTTACTCCTCAAGCTCCTCATCCAGACCAGATGCTTTTTTCTCCTGAGCACACCAACTTGCTCATCTTCCCCTCTCAGACAACTCTCCCTGACTCTGTCATTTTCTTTATAAAGGAATACAAAGAAGTAAAACAATACCAGCTTTCACACCATCCTGCAGTGCAAGAAACCAGGTCCCAGTGCATGACCAAAAGCAATCAATGCCAGGCTCTAAGGGGTTTGCTTTGCAGTAAAGGTGAACAGTCCTTACTGCAGATAGGGCCAGTACAGCAGCTGAGATTTTTCTCCTATGGATTTAAATAGGCTTCTATGCACTACAGGTCTGGGGGGAGAGAGTTTATTTGTGGGTGTTTTGGGGGTTGGTTTAAGTATTGCAGAAAATGTCACTCGGAGGCTCTCCTTCCATTGCTGGGAACGGGGGAAAGGAGCAGAGTGCCCCGTTAAAGTTCGCCTCCTTTCTCTATGTCCTGCATTCATTTAGGATTTAAGTTCATCAGGCAACTAAATTTGATGAAAAACTGTTCGTATCAAATCACTTGTTTATTTGGTAAGATGTAAGAATGGTTTCAAGAAAAAATTGAAGGAGATTGGGGAAAAGGACCAAAGGAAAAAAAAAAAAAAAAAAAACAACCAAACAATCCATTGAAGTATTACAATACTTTTGAAACAAGTTCTTTGACTCTTCTTTTGGTGTAAGTTTCCTCTGGGAGTTTACTTTCTCTCACAAAAAAAAAAAGCTAATCACATTTTTAGTTAAGTCAAAATCATTTATTCTGGGTTTAGGCACTAAGCACAGAAAACAAGACAATTACACAATCCTAATCTGTATTTCTATCATCTACAAGAAACAAATTCAAGATTTAAAGCAAGATAAATAATACAAACATCAAGTACAATGGGAACTAACCTCACAAAGCCATTAGCCTACTGCCTTACAATAAAAGCCAAAATCTTGATTTCAAGCAAACTGCTATAAGCAGCACTAATACACTTAAGGTATACACAGTATATTCACACTTATTCTTGATGTAAAAAGCTGTTATGATACATTTGCACCTTCTTCAGATACCAGAGTAGATGAACACAGTACAAAACCCTGAACAGAATTCAGAAAACTCAACCCAGTCTTAGATCAGCTCTCCTACACACATTTCAAAAATAAATGCATGAACTTCGGGGCTCAGTCATCTTAGGTGCTGTGCATTCCGGACCAATCCTGGCTTAACCTTAATCATTAACATCGAGGTTATGTGTTTTGCTATATCAGAGGATGAACCTAGAGAACCTCCAGGGCTCAGTCCTCGACAGTTACAACCAGGTTTTTTGAACCATCAGACCTGCAGAACTGGGGACAAAAAAATAGATTCTTTCCTGGTTCAAGTACCAATAAAACACTTGTCACTTTCCGATCACCATTCTACTTATTTTATACCAGTGGGTTTACACCAAAAGAGTAGTACAGCAGATCACTGATATTTTAAGGAAAAGCCATCTAGTCTGATCACATGTAATATAGCAAAGCTATTCAATTTCTTGATCTTTACCTTCCTCATGTTTCATACTATTATAAATGCCATTTGTAACTCATTCACACTACATTGCTCAAATATTCTCACTCCATCCCTTCGATTGATCTTCAAAATTTGCCCCCACTCTCAAACTTCTGTATTTTGAGTGTTGTTTTTTTTCTTTCATTCCAGTCCACGGGTTCAGGATCCACAAGTCACACATCAAGTAACAACATCATTTTTGCCTTACCAAGGTCTTTTTTTAAAAGCAGCTTTACATTTCACCTTGCTACTAGCAGTTTTTTGGCATCTTGCGTGTGCATTTTGTCTTATATTACATTCTCACTGAATTAAGCACAAAGATCTAGACAAGATGAGGTTGTTTTTTAAAAAAAAAAAATATATATTCACTGCATCACAAAATATCATCTCAGCATTGTAACTTTTATTTTTATACATATATATATGTGTACACAAAGTAACAGTGCACACAGACACAAGTTAGCTTTTGCAACAATAAGAACATATTACGCACAAAAATATAGTTTAGTAAAGTACTTAATTGAAATACCATCAAGTAATTGATATACTTCTGTCATTCACGCTTCAAAAGATTTATATTAAAACAGAAGTTCCTAGGAAGTTTGGGTAGACTTTCAAAGAAGATAGCATGGACAGAAATATTAAAACAAAACAAAACCAAACCAAACCAGAAAATAGAGCCTACCAAATATGTTGGTGGAATGTCCTTTCCGGGCAATTGGTTTGAGCTCATTATGTCCCCATCCATACTGCCTATAATTGTCCCAGGCATGCTTCATCATCTAAGAGATGGAAAAAATAGGATTTGATTACATTATAAATCCACTTTGTACGAATACAATATTTTATTCCTTATTTAAGACTTCATCTTTCAGTCAGCCCAGCATACTGATAATTATTTTGCCACTATTTCATTTCTATTTGTCACAGAAATCAGATTATACAGCATGAATAAATTTGGAAACAACTTCCAAGTCTATTTGACTTGAGCTCTAGAGCCTTGTGAATGCTCTGCATTAGGTTGTCAACTTTGTTTCTTTTCCTTTAATATATGCATGGACATTTAAGAATTTAAAGGTAAGGAATGCATTTAAGCATAAGGCATTGTTGAAAAATACTGTCTAATGTCTAAGACGTATACCAAAAGAAAAAATATACACCAATATCTGAAGCATAAAAGATTTATTTACATGGGTGCTTCCAAGTATGACTAAACAATTTAGCAAAAGGCATACTACATTTGTTATTAGCACTACCTACTTGACAAAGATACACTGTCATACTGCCTCTACCAAAAGAAACACAAAAAGCTTTGCTCTTTAGAAAGCATAACAAACAAAAAATGATGAAATTATTAATATTTGCTCCACAAAACATTCTCAACTATTTTGAATAGATGTTTCCACCACCTAGTAAGCCAGCTTACATCTAAAAAACAAAAGGTCTTGTTGACCCACAAGTATTAGTTGTACACATCAGCTGCTAAGCACTGCTTTTATGGATTTGCTAAAACTTTTCAAATTCCTTGCTTGTTGGTATGTAACAGAAATTCAGCAGCTACGAAATTGCAAAGCGAATGCAGTTTAAAACAATCAAATATTAGTTACCTAGATAGATCAAAGCAAGTAACAGGAACAAATCAGATTCCAAAAGACACTACCCCAGACACAGAAACAGCTAACAAACCTGTTCTAAAACAGCAGTTATATGGCTGTATCCACAAGATCACACATATTTTTACATTGCATCTTAAAATTGGTATTAAAATAGTTACTATAAACAAAAACCCCAAGAAAATGTATAGGACTTAAATTATGATCTCCACAAACTTGAGAAATGTTCTCTAAGAAGAGAAACCGTGCTAATGTAACTCATAGACCAATACTAACCCTTTAAAAACCGTTTGTATCAGGACAAGTAAAGTTTTCACTACAATTTACAAGACTGTAGTTTTCTTAGTTTAAGCAGTCAGTCACCATACTCATAGAAAACAGGAGGAAACAAGCAGATGCTGGCTAAAAAGTGAGGTGTGTATAGACAGTTGCCTTACCAGCACTACCTCACACAGGAGCAGCTCTCTTCTCTGACCTCAGAGGATTTAGTGGAAGTCAGCATCCAGTAATCCCACATCTTTCAAACTACATCTAACCCGCCTGCTGAAACGTGCAAAACAAAGTCCCTGTCTCCCTGCAATCATCAAGAGATCCCTGACCAACCTACACAGCTGTAATCCCTTTGAACATAAACTCCCTCCGGATTTCGTATGGCTCAGTTAACTCATGCCCAGACAATAAATTTGAACCACAGCAAAGGTATACGCACAGGCCCAGAAGCTGGGAAGCACTCCTGCATTAAACTGACATCAACCTAGGCACTGATGTCCATCTCAAGATGTCAGAGCTCCCACTCCTACTGCTTGTCATTCAAAGTCAGTTCACATGTTGCTTTTGGTATTTGCACTAAAAGATTCTGAGACCTGATTAGGCAATAATACTGTATCATTTCTTTTAGTGTCACGAACCTGTAATGTAAGAAAAAGAGCATGCAAATATTATACTAAAAGGGGAGAGAAAAGACATTTCGTTAGCATTCACAAATTCCTTAGTGTTTACAAAGCACTTACCAAATTGACCAATTAACAGCTATTTTTGATCCTCAAGATGACTCAGGTAAATATCCTCTCTTGACAGGTAAGAAAACTAAAGCATGACAAACACATTAAAAGCCTGATCACAGGCAGTATAGAAGTTCCTCTGAGATCTCTTACTAGTGTTATCCAGAATCAACCCACAAATTTTTATATAAAATTGTTCTTTAACTCAAGATCATAGAATCAAGAATCACAGCATTGTTCAGGCAGGAAGGGATCTCAGGATGTCTCTAGCTCAATCTCCTTCTCAAAGTATGGTCAGTTATGGGATCAGACTGGGCTACTTAAGGCTTTCTCCAGTCAGAAGGGGTCAGTCAAGGCCCCTTTAACCCACAGCCTGCCAGTCCACCTTTAAGTCCTAAAACTCTACGTGTGAAACAGAGACCTATAGTTTTAGAAGGCACTAGAGGATGAAAATAAAAAAATTACTGACCAGTGAGCAGTAGGTGAGTATACTAACGGGTATCTAAACAGCAAAGTGACCATGACATGGCCAACTTGCTTCCACATAAGGGAAATTGGGCTTCTGAGACCTTTGGGTGCATCAAAAATATTTCATGAAGGGGAATCAAATGACCACTGGCATTTTAGCTATGTAAAAATCTCAAAGTGTAGGCAAATACCAGTGTAGATCAAAACTAGCAAAGTCCAAAAGAAAAGCAACCAACTTGTTTCCTCATGAAAAAACGTTAATTGTGGAATATTTCACTGTCCCAATTTGCTGTGCTTCTGGGAGGAAGGTATAGATTTGGTTACAGACTAATTAGCTCTGAGGAAACACAAGAAAATTGCAGAAATTACAACAAAATACATCATAACATAAGATGTTTCTATATCCAAAAAGATCATAAGATAAAATTATCCAATGATAAAATTTCATTAAGACAGAAACTGTAAAGGAGTTGATTTTACCAGATCCGTCAATTAACTCAAGTAACTTAAGAATACACTACTGAGACCAGACACTCTGTCGAACACAAGAGGCTAAGACACAGTTGACTGCATCATCTGAAGTTCTGAGATAGGCAGTTATATTTTGAGGAGACCAAGCTACTTTGGTAAACACAAAGGCATGCTTGTCCTGTCCCCTCTGCCTCTCAAACAGCATACAAAGAATACGGTAACTCCCCGAGAATCTCTTGACTTTATTACACAAACTAGTCAACTGATTTTTTCCAGATGAACACTGAACATTACTTTGGCATACAGGTCATTACTCCCCTCTACCACAAAGTGAGTAGGACTTCACGATATCACGTTAGCAGATAACAGCACACTACATGCAAGTGAGAAATCCCATAGCTCTTGTATACAATATTAAGTTTTGTAAGGATGATATGCCAAGAGATCTTATAACAACATGGAGATTTGTGTTACTGCTAGAACTGGTAGTATGATATACTATATCTGTATTATAGATAAAGATATAGGTTATATATATACACACACACTATTGAGAGCACACAGAAGCTTTTGAGAGACAGGAGAAGATAGATGCCTCCCTCTGCCAGCTAAAAATTTAACAGAGGATGCCACTTTGGCTCAGGAAGTACAAGCAACATGAACTCCTGATCTGAAAAACAAGATTACCTCTACGGTTATGCCAGATAGCATTTGCATAGCAAAAGTTGGAAATGCTGAAGACTAGCTGCAGGTACAGATCGGCTTTTCTTCAAAAAACTTATCTTTAAAAGAAGAGGGAAGTCTCAGACACTGACTGGAACATCACCATTAATGATAACAGAAAGAAGGTAAAAATACTTGCAAAAAACCTCCCCCCAGCCAACCCTTAACCCATGACAAGAGGCATCTTAAGCTCAGTAGAGTGAAAATAACAAGCTGGTCCAAAATGGATCAATAGTTGTGAAAAAGACAAGATGTAGCTTTCCATAGCTGAAGTTTCCATACCTGATAGCAGTCAAAGTAAGTACCTGGAGCTTGATGGCATTTCATATAAAGATCTTGCAATCTGTCCACCAGAGAACAAATGCTTTTAGTGATGGACTTTTTACTGACACTATTAATGCCAGATTTTGCTGGATAGGTCCACTGAATACCAGTCTCGTATATGGTGCATCCCATAATAAACATCTTCAACAGCCAGCAAGATGAGGTTGCATGTACAGCTTGATAATTCTACAAAAAGATTAACTTGGACTCTGCTGCCAAGTGAGCCAAGAATAACATGAAGCAGGGCATATCAAACGAAACTGCTTTTGTAGGTACGCTGTTATGTAGATGCCTTTACTGACTTTAGAACATGTCCGTGGGATCTGATCCTCCACAGTCACTGGGAAATCAGGTTTTTATAAAGACAGAGTGGCAATGATGTCTTTTGACAAAATCATAATTGTAACAGTAAAAAGGTTACAATGATTGAAAAAAGACTTTTGTAAGGGAGTTCTATCACTAAAGCAGGTTAGAAAATAATTCATACCACAGACTGGTTCAAAAGCCCCTTTCTACCCCTCAAAAAAGGGCAAACAGAAAATAAGAGCCCTGAGAAATAAGCAAAAGAAAATTTACTGGCAAATCTCTGTATTTACTGGTTGTGCCTAGAAATGAGGAACCTATCCTCTTCTTACCATTCCATCAGGAGCATGCATAACAGATAGCAAATAGGTTTTGCTTGCAAAGGAGCATATTCTGGTTAAAGGTATAATTTCAAGAGATTCATATAAACCATCTTCAAATTATGTTTTAAAATTAACCAAGGACTTGCTAGACAAGATTCCTGTTCAATTGGCAGCTTAAAAATTAACAACCGCTTTCCTACTGTCTGCAGAGAATACTTTTTGCAGGTTAAAGAATGATCTTTGCCTTGTATAGATACTCAGATTTTTGAAGAAACTTAGAAAACTGATACAGATTATTTTATTCTTCTGGGAGCTATAAATCTCTACCTTAAAAAGACATTATTTCAGGCATCAGTCTGTGCCTCTGTCATGCGTTTCTGAACACTGCCACTGAAAAAGTCTGTTTGGAACATGTTCGTAACAGACAGAAAGCTGGGTTTTCTTTTACTGATGAATCTGGTAACAAATCCATTACTAAAACAAAACTAAAATGTTTATCAAATGTATACAAAATGGGAAGCTTGTCCTTTTTTGGTGGCATGAAATATTTGAAGCC